TCCTCCTCATCAGAGAAGACCATGCCATCCACATCCATAGGATCATCCAACACGAGTTCCGACTCGACGTTGGTCCTATGTTCCCCGGCCCTCATGCGCCGGGCGACCTCCTTCTTCTTCTCTTCCTTCCGCTGAACCTCCTTGGTTCTTTTCTTCTTCCGGGCGTCTACCGGCTCCTAGGCGGCCTGCCGAGCTCAGCCCTCCGGTCCCTTAGGAAGGTGCGGCCGGGACTTGTACCTCCCAAGCCTCTATGGAACAAATGAACTAAAATAAAAAGAGAGAGCAGAGAAAAAGCATGGAAAAAAATAAGGGAGCATACCAGTGTGGGCACGATCGAGGCATTGAACGGTATGGGTTTTCCCACCACCGTCTCTCTAGGCCTCAGCTGCAGCACTTGGCCGACACGACTCTAGATCTCATCGTCCAGTAGCTCCTCCAGCAACGCGCAGTCCGGGTTCGACCGGCCGCCGTACATCCACATCGGGTGCGTCCTCTCCGCTAACGGCGCAACCCGACGGCGGTAAAGGGTGTGGAACACCCGCACCCCATCGAGGCCGCCCCTTATGAGCTTCCAGAGCTCCTCCTCGATGGCCTCCGCCTTATGCCTATCCATGCGGGCACAGCCCCACGACTAAGTTTTTTGCTTGACCGGCCTCCCACTGGTGATCGTTGGAAACAGCGCCTCCACCGGATTCCTGATATAGAACCACTCCCCATGCCATCCCTGGTTGGAGTCACATGGGATGTACGCGAGATACGAGCTTCCCACACTCGGCTTCCTCTGCAGGGCGAAACTTCCCACCGGCGCGATCTCGGCCGAACTCTAGTCCGCCATAGCCCTCCCGGAGAAGAAAAGCCGGAAGAGATCCACGTGCGGCTCCATCCCGAGGAAAGCCTCATAGACAGTGACGAAACCAGCGATGTGCAGCACCCCCATCGAATTGAGATGCTGCAGGTCTAGACCCCACTCATTGAGGAGCCCGCGTAGAAACCAGTGCACAGGGTATCCTAATCCATGCTCATGGAAGGTAAGGAAAGAAACCACCTCGTCGGGACGAGGTTGCAGGAACTCCTCCCCTCCAGGGACCCTCTAGTGCGCCACCTCCTGCGGTGGCAGAAACCCCTTCTTGACGAAGGCCTCCAGCACCGACTTCCTCACGTTGGACGACCTCCAGTCCGACATCTTCGCTCCAGATCACAAAAGGATCAGTGAGTTCCTCTCTTCTCTCTCGCTCTCTCCCCCTTCTTTCCTAGAAACCTCCGCGGCTCTCAGGAACGCTCACGGCAAAAAAGGAAGAGAGAAGGCGGCGGCAGATGAAGAACAGGCAAAAGAATGGAACAAAAACCCTCTCCCTGCTCGTACTTAAAGAAAAGGGAACAATGGTTAAGGAAGGGCACGCCGATCGGGGAAGGCAGAACGGCGGAGCAAGAATTTCTCTCTCTTTTCCATTTAATGCAGATGAGACATGCCCTGAACCGATGAGACGCGCCCTGCTTGATGGAACAACCCCTGATCAGACGGGACGTGGCCTAGCCGTGGCCCACCACTACCACACGACGGGCACAGGAACCGAAGCACCACCGCACGCGAGTGGCTTCTCGCTCCCCCAGGACAGACCTGGGGAGGCCAAAAATGAAATCTCTGCCGAGAGACCAATCGACCCCCTGAGTCGATCGAGTCACTTAGTATCCACACCAAGATAGAGGTAGGAAGCAAAGGGATGCCCCATGTAGGCCATGCCGACTCCGTCACGAACGACGAGCACGGGTCCCGGTCGGACGTTTCCGACTGAAGCTCTTTGAGCCCCGTCACTCCAGTCGTCAAGGTAAACACTATCAAAACCCCCTCTATTTCATTATAAATCATTTCATACATCCATACGCGCATTTCATTCCATACGCCCACGCCTCTCGGACGATTCGGGTCCCAAATCGCTCGACGGCTCAGGAACTAAGCATCGCACGTGCAGCGAAATGCGCCAGAACGCTCCGTGTTGTGTCACGAAGCGGCGGTTGCCTCATTCGACATGGGCAACCAACAGACCCAGGGGAGAAAACCATAGATGAGCACCGTGCGGCCCTCACTCGGTCCGACAGACCGGGTCATCTCAACCTTCTCGTTCGGTCCTGAACCTCTCGCTAGGCCCACATAATCTCCATCGAGGGGAGGCCGTTAGGCCACCCGGGTCGATCTCCGGAACGACCTAGGCATCTGCCGGGTTACAGGTAAAGGAGTAGTGGAATGTCACAAGAGGGCTATGCCAACCCCGTCATGAATGATGGACCCGGATTCCACTCGATCACACCCGTTAGCGAACTCACCGAGCTAGTCTTTGAGCCCGAGCGATCCGGACAAGTGACGAAACTCAGCCCCTCCGGTTGTGAGGAACCGAGGATGGGGTAACGCACACAAACTCACATCGACCCCCACGAAGGCCCGATAGGGCTCGGGGGCTCAAGACAAATGCCAAGGACAGCGACCTCGAACTCGCCAGATCCATGACTTCGACTCGCTCGGTCCCGCGGCGCGCACCGATGCCAGGATCCGCGAGCATCGCCTCGTCCGATCTTTAACCAACTAACTACGCTTCGGCTTCAAACGGCTTCACTTCCAACCGTGCTCCAATAAACCCTTGGACCGCGACTCCAAACTCGCGTAACGGCTTCACTTCCGACTGCACTCCAATAAACCCTAGGACCGCGACTCTGAACTCGCTTAACGGCTTCACTTCCGACTGCGCTCTAATAAATCCTGGGACTGTGACTCCGAACTCGTGTAAATGGCTTCACTTCCGACTGCGCTCCAATAAATCCTGGGACTGTGACTCTGAACTCGTGTAAACGGCTTCACTTCCGACTGCGCTCCAATAAATCTTGGGACTGCGACTCCAAACTCGTGTAAACGGCTTCACTTCCGACTGCACTCCAATAAATCCTAGGACTGCGACTCCAAACTCGCGTAAACGGCTTCACTTCCGACTGCGCTCCAATAAATCCTAGGACTGCAACTCTGAACTTGCGTAATGAGTTCACTTCCGAATGCGTTCCAATAAACCCTGGGACCGGGACTCCAAACTCGCATAATGGCTTCACTTCCGACTACGCTCCAATAAACCCTGGGACCGCGACTCCGAACTTGTGTCATACGACTACGGAGCTCCGACTCGACCGATTCCTAAACTAACTAAACTGACTTTCGATCCACAGCGTGCACCGACGCCCGGGTCCGCTCGCGACTTCGCCTAGACCGATCCCACAGCGCGCATCGACGCCAAAGATCAGTGAGCTCTGTCGCATCTGAACCGAGCTATCTCCATCCGTGGCGCGCACCGACGCCAGGGTTTGTCCTGAACTGACCTTCTCACCCGATCCACGGCACGCACCGACGTCGGGATCAGTAAGTTCTGTCTCATCCCCGCACCTAAAAACCACCTCGGCTGCGCAACGACACCGTGGTTAACAAAATTCCATCTCGAACTAAAAACACACACGCCCGCTGAAACAACACCCCTCAGACGGTTCTGCCCGAATCGCCCGGGGGCTCGGGGGCTACACCCACGGGTGCGCTTGCGCGCATCCACCGTCAAGACAAAAAATCCCCTGGATGATTCTGCTCAAATCGCCCGGGGGCTCAGGGGCTCCTATCGGGTTCATAAACCCGGGGTCCCTCGGGACCGGTTTTCACGCCAGGGCTCGGCCCAAGAAAGCAGCATGTAGTTCATGGGCCGGCCCAAGAGACTAAAACACAATGGGCTAGAAGGACAGTCCGATCGCCGACCAGAAGGTCTAGCCAAAGGAACAAACACCCGCTCATCAAACATCTTCGGTCCACCTCTCCGACCGGAGCACTCGCTTCGGACACCAGCCGCCTTCGGGCGGTCTCTGTGATCGAAAGACCTGGCCCAAAACGCTGCTTCCCACTCTGACCCCGCGTCTCCGACCGGGGACCCCGTAGGAAGCCTACTTACCACTCTTCTCCGACTGGCGCGGCTAGGGCCGACTGGGGCCATCCGACCGGGAACGCCCGCTCGGAAGGGACTAGGGGCGAACGGAGAAGGCAGCGCACAAGTCAAACCACGATACTAGGACCATACCCTGTATGCCTGTAGGAATAGTGCTCCACAACCGCCCTGATACAAACAGTATTGTAGGCGCCGACATTTGTGTCTACAGTATTGTAGGCGCCGTTGGACTCCCGTACGGCGAAAAGCCCCCCACATGCCTCTGGGCATCGATAGTACTGCAGGCGCCAGGATTCACCATACCTGGTACACGTGGTAGGGCTCCTCACATACCAACAGTATTTTGCATATACCAACATCTACCCTTCCTGAAGAAGACAACGCAACCTCCCATGTGCACCTGACATTCTACAATGACATCAACAGTATTGTGGGCGCCTACCATCATCACTGTCCTTATCGGCGTGGGCAACAAGGCTTAGTAACATCCATACTCTCTCCCTCTCACCTGTAAAGCCATCCCCTTCATCTATAAAAGGGGATGCGCTCCCTCCAACGAAGGGGTCGACTTCTTCAAGTTGAGATTCACTAGATCGATAGCTCACAACCCTTCGAGCACATGCTTAAACACCTAGCTCACAGCGGAGTTCTGGTCGCTCTTGGCCCTCTCGGTCGGACCCGACCGGGCCTCTCGTACACCCCACCTTTCTCCTTCTCGTTTGTAACCCCACTATAGACTTCGAGCACCTGGGCTCAGGAATAAAGTCATCGACCGACCCAAACTGGACGTAGGGCACGTTGCCTGAACTAGTATAAATCCTATGTCATTGAGTGCTAGGCCACCTCCGATCACAACGTACAGCAAAACTACAAATATTCACTAGTTGGTCACTTTCTGCACCGACACTTAGCGTCAAGAAGTACGAAGGCATCATCAATATACTTTGACAACTTTAACTCTGACTTCCTTGGCATAATGCGAAGTTTTTCCAAGCCAATCCCAACAAATTTAAAAGTGTCTAAATTCACACCTTGAGCTTAGCAGTACTCCATGCACCTTTTGTACGTCTCAGGGACAACTCTGCCAGGAATTGTTTCTAGGGCTTCGGTAGGAGTAGCAGGCTCCTGAGCCACACCCTTCATCTTTCTAATGTAAACAGTAGTGTCCTTCTGAGATAAAAGATCATGAAAAAATTCCTCTACACGAATTTTTTTAATTTAAAATAAGAAAAAAAACTTAAAATACAAGTCAAACGACACACAAATAAAAAAGAACAAACTTACCCGTAGAAACACCCTTCTCAAATTGACATGCAACTTTTTCACTAGTATTCACATCAATTGTGGACTCAGTAAGACGAGAAGCCAGGACGTGCTCAGCCTCTTCGTCAAATACATCATCATCAGAATCATCAAAATCAAGGGTAACCGTAGTAGTACCCTTACCCTTGTGAGCATTAACTTTTGGAGCATCAGTCTCCATAGGCCCACCTCCCAAATCAGTATCTTGAATCACAACTCGGGGAGGAGAGGCAATGTGAAGAGTAGCACCAACATCTCCTACAGTTCCTTGAGGAGTTTCAGCAACAAATCTTTAAGAAGATGGCCCAGTGGTCTCCGGGAAAGCCATAGTTTTAATCTCACCTTCTTCCATTTGCACATCAACAGTAGCGGTTGCGTCAGCAGCACCGCCAGTATCAAGAACAAGAGAAGAAGCCAGAACAGCTGGGGAAGAAGGCAAAGTGTCTTCGCCAACATTTTTCAGAGGCAAAGACAAACTAGCCTCACCAACATCTTCACCATAATGCAAAGTGGCCCCCAAATTCTAGAAATAGTCACCAAGCGGAGTCAACATTGGCGGAGTCAAACCACTAGAATTAAAAACTAAACTAATCATTCTCACCTCATCATCACAAGCCTGTTGACTAAGAATCTCTTGACTGTCAACATCAAGACCCAAATTAACTTCATCTTCTGCAACCTTTTCTGAATCAAAAGAAGCTGAAACCTTCTTTTTATTGCTAGTCCTTTTAGCAAGTTGCCCACCATCTCTTTTCTTCTTCGTAACATTCTCTACGCTCGGCTTCACTGCATGAGTATATGTTGGTGGAGGTCTTTCATCATATTTGATTTGGGCAATTTCAAATATTCTATTCAAACGCTTATAATCTTTTCCAAGAATTTTATCCATCAAATCCTTCTCTTTCTTCAAAAATTTGCCCAGAATCTCATCTGCCTTAACTTCAACAGCAGAAACTAAATCCTCATCTCTTGTGTACTTCTTCGGGCAAAAAGCTTCTTTGTCAGGATAAATATAATATTTACCCCTCACAACTTTCTTATGAAAACGAATAAAACTCCAACCCTTCCTGAGAGGCCAAACTCGAGCTGCAATATATTCTTCGTAAAGATCACGATCACTTTGCAGGTTAGCAGTCAACTTGTAAGCCTTCTCACATATCTTTGAATTCTTTGTACTTGGAAATTCAGGCTTGCAATCAAAAGCATTCTTCCCCATCTTCGCAGCCAATGGATAGTGCTTCACAATCTTCCTTGATTCATCCCTTTCTTTAATCATTGGAACTGCATGGTAAAACCAGTAACTATATCAATTTTCAACCCACTTATTCTTGGAAGCAGGAGAAATTTGTTTAGCACCTCGAGCAGGTTTAAAACTATAACAACCAAAGTACTTAATAACAGTCTTCCCATCCACAGTATTATTCCTAAACTAAGTATGCATCTCATGAAGAGCAAAAAAGCCCTGATGTCCAAGTTTACATCTTGAGACTTCACTGCCCAAATAAAAAGGGCAATCTTCGCTATTCCATTAGGAGTCAGATGATGTATTTCTATATTATATGCCTTCAAAAGTTCTTCAAGAAAGTCTTGATATGGCATATGAAGTCCAGCTGCAAATTGATCCCGAAAAACCACACATTCATAAGGTTTTGGATCAGGAATTACTTTATTTCCAGGCAAACGAACAAATGCCCTCTCCACCATCCAATTAGTCACCATCCAATCTAACTCTTTTTCATCCATCAAAGTTTTGCCAAACTTTAAAGACTTTGTATCATCACCAACCAACTCGGATTCAGATGCAGAAACATCTGATAAATCTTCACACAAATCAGATTGGTTAGATCCAACCGGAGAATTGGTAGAAGCATTCTTCTCCTAATCAGACATCTAGAAAAAGAAATATCACGGCAAGATAAAATAATAAACAAAAAGAAAGGAAACAGAAATAAATAAATAAAAAACTAACCTTAGTCAAATTTGCACCTCTGAAAAGAAATGAGTCTTCGAATTTTTTTTGGCTTCGCTAAATTTTTTACTTCGTTTCAAAGAAAATTTCGGCAGCACCTCCCCGTCTTCGATAAAGTAGCAAACACAGAGGGAGGGACCAAAGTATATATAGGCGGCTTTGGGTCAAACCTGACGATTCAGCTTCAGACGGTCAAATATGACCGTTGCAATTAAAAAACAACTGTTCATAGTATAACGGCTACAAATGGCCAATTCTAAAGTTCGAGACGGCGTTTTTATCTTTGTTTTAAATCCGAACTTCACGGGATTCAGACATTTGGAGTAGGCCTTCGCCCGCGAGGGGCTGCTGTTGGGGATTTAACTTCACCAAGAAAACTCAGCCCCTGAAACTTTAGAGTTAAAATTATGATTTCTATAACAAAGTTTACTTATAGGAAAAAGAAGTGAAGGGAAGATGGAAATTTGACTTCGTAAGAAAGATTTCGTCTTCGCTGAAAAGATCTCGTCTTCGCTGGTGAACAGAAAAAAGCAAGATTAGGTGAAGACAAGAGTTTGACTTCGCCTAACATTCTGAGAGAAGAAGAAAATCAGAGCAGAAATCAACTAAGTCTAGAAGACGAAGACATCGATGAAGTTGATGTACAAAAGTTGAAGAATGAAGACTCAAAAGGGAAAAAGACCACTTCACCCTTATATTTGAAAAGGGTTGTAACTATTTGAGTAGGAGGTAAAAAGGTCATTTTATGTAAAGTACGAAGACTAGGACCCCTATAAATTCCTCCTCTAACAAGTACAGTACCACCATAAAATGAATACAACTTGTCTTGTGTTTAAACTTTGATGCTTGTGTAATTTCTTACCCAATAAGTAACCAATGTGCCAAATCTTGAGGGTAAGGATCTCAAGGACTTATGAGAGAAGTCCTTATCCTTTACTTCTTCACCAAGTGCTTTGAGATCATTGACTGTCACTTAGAGCCTATGAAACATATATGGCACACTCTCATCATCCTTCATCTTGAAGCTTACAAAAGTTTCCTTGAGAATATATTTCTTAGCACCCTTCATGGCTTGAGAGCCCTCAAATGACTCCTCTAACTTCTTTCATGCCTCATGAGCCATCTCAATGTTCTTGATTTGCTCAAATGTTCTCTCATCCATGGCATCATGAATGGCATTAAGAGCAATATCATTGTTTTGGAGCAATACTTCTTCGGCCATGGAGGGAGCTTTCAGATTTGCTACCTCAATCTTGGTATCCACCATCTTCCACACCTTTCTATTGATTGACTTGATGTAGGTGGTCATCTTAGCCTTCCAATAAGGATAGTTTGTGCCATCAAATTGGGGTGGTTTCTTGGTGTTGTTGATTTGAGCCATTTTAACACCAAAGGTTGTTAAGCTTTAAATCAAGGCGACCATGGCTCCAATACCAATTGAAAAGTCCTAATGGCTAGAGGGGGGATGAATAGCCTATTAAAAAATCTACAACAACACTAAGTCAAAAGGTTAGATAATTATGAGGCAAAGCAAGTGTTGTGGTAGCCTACTAAAAAGGCAAGCCACCTACCAATAATTCTAATCAATTATGATCACTAGGCACTCAAGGGCTATGTCTCTACTCTCTACACTAGTTGAGCTAGCTAGGAACTAATTACAACTAAGAAGCTAAGCTACATAACTAGCTACAACTACCACAAGCTCTACACAAGGTAAAAATACAATGTAATGCAAGAGAGTGGAAGAGGAGATATACCACCGTGGCAAGTGATCAATCAATGAGTACCAATAAATACCAAGGAGACAAATGATGACACAAAGATTTTTCCTCTGAGGTTCACTTGCTTGCCAGCAAGCTAGTTTCCGTTGTGGCGATTCACTCACTTAGAGGTTCACGAGCTAATAGGCATCACACGCCTAACCCATAATCGGGTGTCGCACAACCAACACAAGATGAGGATCCACAACCCACGCGCAATCCGCTAGAGTTGTCTTTGGCGCTCTGCCGGGGAAGGCATAAGAACCCCTCACAATCACAATGATCAGAGCCAGAGACAATCGTCTTCCTCCGCTCGACGATACACCAATCATCGGGCCATCTATGTGTCGGCAAACACCAAGAGTAACAAGAACTCCACCAGCCCATATCACCCAACTAGTGCCACAAGATGCTAGACCACTAAGCAATGCACTAGAGGCTCTCCAATCTCACTCAAGATGATGAAATCAAGTGTGTAAGTAAGTGGAGTGGTGTGCTTAGCTCTCAAAGGGTGTACACAAGTGTGGGAAGTACCAAGAGAGTGGCCAAGGCCAGCCAACACATCTATTTATAAGCCCACAAGCAAATAAATCAGTTACCCCTTGGAGCCACTTTCTATGAGGGCACCGAACACGGCGGTGCATCACCGGACTAGGGTGGCGGTGCCCCTCTAACAGTCACCCAACAACTAGTTTCACTAGCCGTTGGGGCACCAGACACGGTGGTGGTGGCACAGCCCTAGGGGTGGCAGTGACCACCCGGCCAAACCCTCTAAAAACACCATCTCTGGATAAAAATGGTGGTGCACCGCCCTAGGGGTGGCGGTGCCCAACTCAGCTTCTACCGCTCTCTGGATAAAGGAGGCGGTGACACTGCCCTACCAGTGGTAGTGACCAGGCGGTGCACCGCCCTCGTCGAGGCGGTGAACACCGGACGCGGCGGTGACCACCTCCACACAACGTTTCTCGGCCGAGTCCAGGTGGGCACCGCCCTAGGGGTGGCAGTGCCACCAGATAGGGTGGTGGTGCCAACCCAGCATCTCCCTCTCGCCCTGGTCTAGCCGGTCATCGCCCTAGGGGTGGCAGTGCACCCAGAGGCAGCACCTCATCCCCTTCTTCGCCTCCTTTGCTTCCTTTGCAAATGTGCCAACACCACAAGTGTTTCACCATCATGTGCAAGTGTGTTAGCATTTTTGCAATCATTTTTAAAAGGTTATTCGCTTCTCACCGATTGTGCAATAGGCCTAAAATGCATATGCAAGTTATCCAACACCTAGTGGCACTAGATGATCGAGTTGTCCAATAAGAGCTCCCGTCTTAATAGTACGACCATCTATCCTAAATGTGATCACACTCTCTAAGTGTCTTGATCATCAAAACAAAATAGCCCTATAGATATCACCTTTGCCTTGAGCCCATTTTATTTTTCTCTTTCTTCTTTTCCAAGTCCGAAGCACTTGATCATCACCATGGCCTTTACCATCATCTTGATCATCATCATTTGCTCCACTACTTGGAATGTGCTATCCTATCTCCTATTCACTTAGAGCAAATGGGTTAGCACCTAGGGTTTCATGAATTCACCAAAACTAAAGTAGAGCTTTCAGTTGGGCCGTTGGGAACAAGGGTTGGGCTAGGTTAGGTGAAAATTATTAGGTGGAGAGAAATCTGATCTTTTTGATATTACAACAAATATGTCAGTGTGTTGCAATGGATTTATGGAAAACAATGACGATAATGGTACATATCTATCTATGTTTTATTGTTTTTTATATAAAATTTAAAAGCTATATTTATCTATGACCACCATAATATCCATAATATAAGTAAACGTTACCAGTATTATATACTGAATTAAAATACAATCTTATTATATTTTTTCCTATAAAGACAAAAATATTTATTCATCATAGATATATATATCATAACACATAACTTCAATTTTCAATATTATCTAATTGTTTGATTAGTTAGAGCATCGATTGATCCTATTTTAATAAAAATAAGTTTTATTTTTAACCGTAACTACATAAACAAATTAGCAATGGAGAGAGTCAATTGCAGTCATTATTTAGTTTCATATATTTATGAGAAAAAATATATAGGTCACGGCAAAATGGAAAAAAGAAAAAAGGTCACGTTATGAAACCAGACTCTGTGTAGAAGCATAAGAAAAAAACCAAATCTATAGAAAAAAAAGTCAGACACGGTGTGCTAAAGGGAAAAAGTAACAGTTGCAATGGAAAAAAAGAAATAGTCATGGACTCTGTGATAGTGATGGACTCCAAATTCCAGACGTGGAGGGGAAAAATCTAAAAAAAGGAATAGCGTAAGAAGAAGATATTTATTTGGCAGCTTATGAGTCCGGATCATATACATGACACAATATGTTTTGGAATAGGACTCTGTATCACGCTAGAGAAGAGCTATTCTAACACATATGAGCACGGATTATATATACAAGTCCGGACAGAAAAACTCTCCATTG